TTTACGGGCAAGTACCTCTGTGATTTTTCACATGTGCTTTTTCACCACGCAATGCTCCTCGAGGAGGGTTTAGGCGACCTTCTCGCAGCAAAAATTGCCTAATTTCCCCCTACCCCCCCCCCTCCTAGAACTGGGAGGCCTCCTATCCCTTTTCCCTTCCTCCTCCAAAGTGCTAAGTGCCCATAGTAGTGCCCTTTATAGGAGCCGGACGTAGAGCACTATAATATAAAAAAAAAACCATATATATATGTGCTTCTGATTAGCTATACTATTTGCGATAACCACTTCATGGTTGATTTATTGCCCAAATGAAAAATTAAAACGAGGAAAATTTATCAACTCTAGTCGTAAGAAGTAGAAAAAATAATTTAAACAATGAATACGTATGTATATCAGATTATTTTAATTTTTTTTACTTTTCGCGAGGTGTATACGACAAACGTGCCATAAAATACGCATAAAGTATTATGGACACGCACGGCGTGAATTGAGCAATTGAGCAATTAGAAATTCATTAGGAAGCCCGAGAACTATAGGGTGCTGGATGCATTTGCACGTAATGTATATATACATGCATAGGAGGAGGAAACACGGACGATAAGCATCTAATATGATAATAAGGTGCGAGAAGCTTGTCAGTGTGCCAATGTAAGCAGGTACATGTATATCGGTGTAGAGAGAGAGCGAAAGTAGAATCGGTACTTCATCAGTATTGATGAGTCGTCTTCGCTTGTCCATTAGGTCCCCCCCTGTGCACGGTATAAATACTTTTCCGGAGCCAAGAGCCTCGGACAATCGTTATTTTCGTTCTACCGGCCATTCATCGATCGCGATCATGGAGCTCTTACCGGTATAACATACATACACGTCATATACATATTATTTGCATGGAAAAAAAAAACAAAAAAACAAAAAACAAAAAAAAGTGCACACCCCAGTGTCTCTCAAAGTCCAAGTGTAAGTTCCCAAGTGGCTGGAGCAAGGCGTAACCCAACATTCGTTGCCGATCTTTGCAGGTACTGTGGCGGCTGTCGGTGAGTTTGTTGCTGTTGGCGCTACTGGTGGCCCAGAGCCAGCAGGCGGCCTCGAGTGGCAATTCCGAGGTGATCAAGCATCAGGGCCCGAGCCAAGGGCATCCGAGTAAAATAGCGAGGCGACAGGACACGAGGGGCCTCCTCCAGCTGGGCTACGGATTCCAGGAGCGGACGTCGCCGCAGCTCGTCTACGGCCCGCCCCAGCCGGTACCCGCCGAGCCCGAGTTCGTCCCCCAGGAGTCGGCACCCTTGACGCAACCCTTGCCCGTGGGACCTGCGCCGTTCATCCACCACCCCTTCCGTAAGCTATAGGATCTTTTTTTTTGGATTTTTTTTTTTTTTTTTTTTTTTTTTTTTTTGCCCAGTACCTACACCATCGTACTTTTTCATTGACAAACGATGGTTTTCGATTCGAGGAATTTTCTAAGAAAATCAATAATTATTGTCCGGCAGAAAATAAATGGCACTCAAACTATCTTTAAAACGTATAAGTATATACAACACAAGGATTAAATCGTTGAAGCAAATATTTAAATTACATGGTGTGACTTGGTAGTCAGATAAACTCGTACTATCGATTTTCTTTCATCTCGTACTTTAGCTTCGTTAATTAAGAATAAAAAAATTTTCTGTTAAACTTTTTCTAAAATATGTATTATACATGCTAACTATTAAATAACACACAAAGCCCATAAACACCAAAAGATGAAAAAATCGACTGGGATCGGTTGTAATAATACCATTGAACATTATTATTGATACCTGCACAATAAAAGGCTGGGTCGAGGAGATAAAAAAAAAAAACTTTTACTTTTCAGTTCCAGCTGGTTTCGGGTTGCTACCCGCTCCACTGCCCGCACTGCCAGTCCCAGCGGCGGTACCAGCCCTTCCGGCACCAGTGCCGGTACCCGCAGCGGTACCAGCCTTTCCCGCGCCAGTACCACCTCCCGTGGTTCAGACCATAACCAAGCACGTGCTCGTCGATCGGCCCGTACACTATCCCGTGCACGTGCCCGTTGTCTTACCGGTCAACAGATACGTACCCGTGCCGAAACCCGTGTACATACCCGTCCGCACCCTCTACCATTCTCTACTGACGCGTGGCTGGAAGTAGGATCACACGCTCCTCGCTGGCCTATACTTACCACTAAGATACATACCTCGAAAATCATCACATCTTTTTGATTGTATTTATTTTATCTTACCGATTAAACATTGACTGATTGCGCGTGGATGAACGGCTTATTCCTTTTTGTGCCCGAAAGACCTTTCCTCATCGTCCTTTTGTTCCAATAAAAATGTATGCTTACGTGATGGGTATCGTCAAAACATATTTACCCGAGACCTTGATAAGTATACGTGCAGCCTATGCTCGAGGAGAGAAAGAGCCGAGGTGTCCGTAATTAGCGCTGGTTGAAAAATAAACAAAGGGGTCGAAGGTTACGTAGCTCTGGTGTGGCCGCGGCTGAGGTGACAAATACCCCACCCCCCTCGTCAGCCAAGGGTCATAAGTTATGCATCGCCACTTAAGCTTGGGGAACAAAAGTCGAGGGATGTTTAATTTTTTCCTTCTTTTTTTTTTTTTTTTTTTTTTTCGCTTATATCCGCCTTTACTCGGAAATTTATGCGACGTGCATCATCACGGATACGATTTATTTACCGGGAAGGAAAAACCATCGAGACTGGAAAAATTACGACTCGTGTGTGCTTTGGTGACGTTTTTAAAAGATCACGCATGACGAGACGCTTTTGGATCATGCAGTCTTACGAATTGAAAATTCAACTCCACTGTTTGTGAAAATTTCTATTAGCTCGATTTGTTAGTTGGTTAGCCGATAATTGAAGAATGAAATGTCAATGAATCGCAGGTAAGTGTAAATGGATCCAAGAAAAAATATTTTATGGACCTTTTAAACGAATAATTTTGAAAAGTTTATTTTTTACTTTAAAAATGCACCATTTTTGTCGAAACATTTTTCATTGCAATAACGCAGGACAGTTACACACCCTGTCACGTCTGTAAGTGAGTTGAATCTGTGTGACGGAATTGTAAAAGTTCCATTTTCATAGAGCTGGTGAAATGGTCAATTATATGCGTGATGCGCTACTGTAATGTACATCTTTAAACCCACAAAAATTACAAGTGTTGCTTATACATAAATATGTAGATTTTTTGAAAAAAAAAAAAAAAAAAAAAATGTATGCGAGTAAGTCGCGACGAAAAGTGCCCACGTTCAACGGATAAGCTCACGTAATGAGTGTGTTTAAGAAGCTTGCGTATGCACATTCGGAGGTGATTGTTGGTTCATGCACCGATGGGGACATCTAATTTTCTTACATCCCGAGTCCAGTCACTGGCGAACACTTGGCCAGGCAACGTATACACGCCAAACGTACCGTGCAGGAATTCACATCTTTTTCAAAATCGATACTTTAGACTCTATAGCTCTCGATCGTAACAATAATATAACAAGTGTGACGTGAGTATACCTACACGAGGGTCCGTATTGTAAATAGTTGAAAAGGCTTTATAGAGCTCGCACGGTCATTAATCTATATATTATATATACTTGTATCTGGTGTCGTAATCATCATCGAGTAAAGCAAACCTTAGGTATACCTTATTGTTTGAGCCACAGCTATACCTCTGATTTTCCAGGTCAAAGCAATTATCGTACGTCACCTCATTTATACACGCAAATAATCCATTACAGCCGCCAAAATCCATCCATGTGCTCTTACGCGTCTCTCGCGCGGAACTAAAAAATACACACTCCCCTGCATCGTCCAAGTCGTCGAAAAAAAAAAAAAAAATGAAACTGTCAAGTATTCGGAAAATCGGCATCGCCGGTGCTTCCACCCTCGTTCTCGGGCTCTTGTTTTACGCGCTCTTCCCGAACATGCTGAACCGGCAGATCGGAGCGGTAAGTGCTTGTGGTCACCTCGAGAAAAAAAACCCTTTGCTCGTTAGTATATACGAGAAAAAAAGAAAAACACCCTTTTCAGAGAGTCTCGCTGGAAAAGGGGAAACTCAGGCGGTTCATCTGGGACAAGCCGCCGTTTTTCCTCACCGCCAAGTTTTACGTGTTCAACGTGACGAACCCCGACGCCGTGATGAAAGGAGCCAAACCGGCACTCCGGGAAATCGGCCCCTTCGCCTACGAGTGGGTTATAGACGCAACAACTGCAGCGAAACACCTTTATTTCTTGTGAAAAAAAAAAAATTGTATCTTTCAGTATGGTGCACGAGAACACGAATCAACTCGACAACGAGACGGACGACACGATAACGTTCGACCAGCGGCACACGTACTTTTTCAACTCGGCAAAGAGCGAGGGCCTGACGGGCGAGGAGGAGCTCGTGGTCCCCAACATCTTTGTCCTCTCCTCCATGAACTTTGTCCTGCGGATCATGCCCAACGCTATATCGATACTGAGTGAGCGAAAATAACCCATCACCATCAACCGGAACAAAAGTACAATTGCCCCTTACATTATTACAACCCGGTGTATTGTGCTCGAAAGGTAAGGCAGTCGACAGTATATTCGGCAATCCGGAGAGCCTGTTCGTGAGGGTCAAAGCCAGGGATTTGCTGTTCGACGGGTTGGCCATCAACTGCAACGCGACGGACTTTGCCGGCTCGACCGTGTGCAGGGAGGTCCAGGCGAGCTACAAGGACTTCAACATGGCCAAGGTCGGCGACACCGAGTACCTATTCTCGATCTGGGGATCGGTAAGTCGAGTACACTGTGTTTTACAGCGCCGATCTTTCACATGACCGATTATCTGTATAGGAAAACGGCTCGGACAGCAGTGATAGGATGCGGGTGGCTCGGGGCGTGCGGAGGATCGAGGACGTTGGCAAGGTCGTGGGGCTCAACGGTAGGGCCAACATGTCCGTGTGGGGGGTGTCGCAGTGCGACAAGATCGAGGGAACCGACGGCTCGATCTTCCATCCGTTCTTCGACGAGGACGGCGCGGAGCCCCTTGACGTGTTCGTACCGTCCATGTGCCGATCGCTGCGCTACCGGTTCCACTCGAAAACTCAGTTCTACGGTACTCCCACCAGGGTAAAATCAATCGATAGTGCATACATAGGTATAAATAATCGGTAACTCGTGTTTACAGGATTGGACGCGCTGCGGTACACTACGGACGTCGGCGTGGACGGGGAACACGTGCGGGAGCACAAGTGCTTCTGCGAGGACCCGTTCAAGTGCATGAGGAAGGGAGTTCTCGACATGTTCAAGTGCCTCAAGGTTCCCATTATCGCGTCCAACCCGCACTTTCACCTCGCCGATCCCTACTACCTGGACTCGGTCTCGGGACTCGAGCCCAAAGAGGTTCACTGTATCATTTTTGTTTCTTCTCTTTCTCATCGCTCCGTAGAGGTAAAATACATGAAAAACGCCGATATTTAGGATAAACACGCGATGTACGTGGACATCGATCCGCTGACCGGGACGCCCGTGGTGTTCAGCGCCAAGGTGCAGTTCAACATGATGCTCGCCAGGCAGGACAAGTTCCGACTGACGAGCAACGTGACCGACACCCTGTTGCCGCTCTTTTGGCTCGAGGAGGGATTCGAGACGCCCGACTTTCTGATGGAGGACCTTATAATGGCCCACCGCGTCCTATCCCTAGCGACGTAAGCCTTTTTTTTCACCCTCCACCTTTTCGAGTGGTTGGTACTTGTGTGGTATGCAATCTCTCTCTTTTCTTGCCAAAACCAGGAGCTTCAAGTATCTCACGATCATCTTCGGGTTCGTCCTGTCCGTTGGCTCGATGTACCTGTACTTGACCACGAGCACCGGAGGTAGCGATCTGGTCTCGAAAAAAGAGGTGCGCTCGGCCAACAGTAATCCACCGAGCGGTGGCAACAAAAAATCGCCCATCACCATGAGCACGCTGCAACAACCACGTACTTGATCTTTTTTTTTTTTTTTTTTTTTCCTGTATCGTCTATTGTCTTGTCCTCGAATGCAAATAAATTTTCTGTGTAACGTCTCCGCGAAACGTTGGAATAAACGAAAAATCGAAAAATCCTATTGGGTACACTGTTGTTTTTGAATCTCTTATTTTTCTATACGTCCCCACCGCGGATGCACGTATCATCCGATGCTCGGTGTAATTGTCAGAGATGTCGGCGATGCGCCGAGTCATTCGGTATAGCATCGATGACAGTATTATTTATCGCGATGATCCAGCACATTGTGTAAGTACGGCGCCACGATAAAGACCACACGCCAAATCGGAAGTGAGCAAGACGAACAATTGAAAACTATACACGTGCATGTAATATATGCAAATTATTTATAAGAAAAATTGCCAATGGCATATATGTATTTATGAGAATAATTTATTGGTGAAATATGGTAAATCACGCGCTGTCAATTATTCGCAAGATTTGATACATTAAAGATATGTTACCTCAAGCCTCGCAATATTATAAATGAAGCATTCGCGAGCTTTCGACTGGAATTTCCAGGGCTGAATCGATCGGACGTGACAGGGTCGAGCTTTCTTATGCACACACATTTTTGAATGGCACTTTTCGCGCACGTATATACACAACAAGCCCACAAGCAAGTTCCATTCTTGTGGTATTAAATATTAGTGCGCGGGCGTACTCGATCGTAGGCTCTAAGTACCGTAAATACCGTATCGGAGTTCAGTCTCCGATTGGCATACGTTGCGGTGGGTGTCGTTGTCGTTGGGTGAGCAAGTGTTACTGGGGGCATCGCAATAATTGTGCACCCAAAAGTACAAATTGCGCAATTATTTCTTCATTTTAAAGACTGTATGGTAATACCAAATATTAACTGTATAAATCACAGTTATGGGCCGCACGAGAAGATTCGGTATTGCGGGTGTCTCCCTGTTTTTGTACAGCATGATATTTAAATTCTTAATGTTACCGCCGATAATGAAGTTTCGAACAAAACAGGTACACGTATACATTATCGTTTCGTTATTGCATAACGTAATATGCAGGTATACGCTTTAAATTTGAAATAGTTATGAGTATATAATTATGCAATGTGTTGAGAAAAAATTTTATTTATTTTGAATTTCACTATTTTCTAGTTGCGTACTTATAACTCGTAGAAATAGCGGATTTTCACTGGGAAACAATCAATAATCACCATTTCTACTGGTTGAAGTTTCATTAATGTAATTAGTTGCAGGCCAAGTTCGACAAAAAGCAGAAAAATCTTTACTATTACAAATTTAGAGAGTATACAAGCAAAGCAAAGAAAAAAGCGTATTATATATACAGGTAATATTGTCATTGAGCATATGAATGTTGTAGCAAACCGAATTGAGACCGGGAAAGTTTATGAGGGACATATGGAGCGCGTACCCGTTCACGTTCGACAATAGTTTTTATGTGTTCAACATCACGAATCCCGAAGATATCGCTGGCGGAGCGAAACCAATACTTCAAGAAATCGGACCTTTCGTTTATGAGTAAGCTATAATTATCGGCATTGTGTGTCATTCATATTATCCGTATAATATACAGTCATCGAGAGGAATAATTTAATTAGGCATAAAAGACGTTAATTTTACGATTGTTGGAGTGTTTCGAGGTAATGGCGTTGACAAATTTTTCCAGCCAGTATCAAGAAAAATCCAACCAAGTGGACCACGACGAGGACGACACTGTATCCTATACGAACAAGTACACGTACCACTTTAACGCCGAAAAAAGCAAAGGACTCACCGGGGAAGAAGAGGTCGTGGTTCCCAATTACTTCATCCTCGGTTTGGTGAATTCCCTGCTGATAGACAAACCCTCCGCAGTGCCCATTATAGGTGTTTTTAGCGTGAATTATTTGTTGCACTGCAATGCTTTTTTTGTTTTATTCGGTATAAGACTAATACGACTGATTTCGCGGAAGGAAAGGGAGTCGACAGCATATTTAAAAAGCCGAGCAGCATTTTTATCAGGGCCAAGGTCAAAGAAGTGCTGTTCGACGGGTTCGTCATAAATTGCACGGTCAAAGATTTCGCGGGTGCTGCCATTTGCTCCGAGGTAAGAGACCAGTACGAGGACTTGAAAATGATCAAGATAGCCGAGGATGTGTACCTCATGTCCCTGTTCGGATCGGTGAGTGATGATGCATTTTTGCGATTACGCCTTTTTTTAGGTACTTATTTTAGACCTAATTGGGGTAGCTTTAATTTCATGTCACAACCTGATGTTTTTCAAATCGACAAAGTTTGAATTATGTTGGAAAACATTTTGGACACAGCGAAACTCTAAAGAAAAAAAAAGTTTGCTCGGGAAAGTTGTTTCATTTTCTGTCTACTTGTGACCAAAAAAGTTTGTAGCTTTGACGAAAGTGCCATTTTTTTGTCGCGAACGTACAAATTTCCACGACTAGTAATTATGGAAAGTGCTGAAAAGTCATTACCCCCAATGCGACGTACTAGCGTAAAATAATTGCTCGAATCAATTCGATGATGGCAGTCGAACGGGACCAGCTCCAAGTCGACGATTCGGGTTAACCGGGGCAGCAAGAAATTAATGAAACTCGGCCAAGTGACCGAATTCAAAGGTGTACCGAATATTTCGACGTGGAACGACCCCGTTTGCGATCTTCTGAATGGGACCGATGGCTCGATATTCCGTCCCTTTTTAAAGAAAAACAAACCATACGGAGGCATATTCGTCGAGCCTATTTGCAGGAATTTGCAACTCAGCTGGCTCGGAAGTAGCAGGTATTCCGGTAAACAAATCTTACTGTATTTCGTCGTAGAGTTTACGTTGCTTTTTTTAAAATAATCTCCAGAGTAAATTGTTAAAATCTAATGATGACAAAAAAAATCCACGTCGTAGCACAAAAGGAAACATTTTTTCCAATCAAAAGAAAAAACTTGATTAATTCAATGCTTCAGCTTTTCGAGATAGGGGTGTATCATAAAGAATTTTTAAAAATAACAAACTTGTCAACAGTTACGTTTGTACGAAACCACAAGTTTTTTCAAGTTTTTATCGTTCAGTACTGGAGCATTAGAAGGGTAAATCAAAAAAGAAAAAAAATTTCAACATAAGAATTATTTCTCTTGCGTATATTGCACAAATCCATAAACTTGATCAGATTACTTTAAAATAAGCTTACTCAGCGAAAAATGCCATACCGGTGACATCGTTCGATTACTATACATATAGGTGTGAAGACTTTTAGCTATACTTCGAGCTTGGGAGTAGACCCGGAGAGCAACCCCCACGACAAGTGCTTCTGTCACAATCCGGACGAATGCCTCAAGCCTGGAGTTTTCGATGCGTACAAGTGCGCAAAACTACCCATAATCATATCGAACCCTCACTTTTACCTTGCCGATCCCCACTATCTGACCTTAGTCGATGGGCTCAAAGCTGAAAAGGTTTTTCACTTCTTGTAACCAATCAAATCAATATTTTTTTATTTTTTCATTATTGTTTTGTTCCTTTTCCAGGATAAGCACATGCTCCACGTCGACCTCGAGCCCAACTCCGGAGTTCCCATTCACGCCAACACTCGAGTTCAGATAAATATGCTGTTGACCAAAGTGGAAAAGTTCAAGCTGATGAAGAACATGCCCGAGGCTCTGTTGCCCTTATTGTGGATCGAAAACACCCTCAATTTGCCGAATTCCCTCGTCAGGGTCATTAAAATGGCTCTGATGCTTCTCCTGTTAGCCAAGTGAGCCAAGAGATTTTATATATACACGTCAAATGATAAAATAAAATAATGGTACTTTTTTTCCAGAATCACGTACTACCTGGCTATGATCGGTGGAATAGGATTTTCCGTTTACTCTGGAATTTTGTACTACAGGGCAATGAAAATGAGAAAGAGCACGGAGATCCAAGAAGTCCCTCAACCTATTGCCGAAAACGAAAAACCCGATGTCGTGGACAAGACTCTGCCACTAAATTTTCCCAGATTACAACCAGCGCAATTACCACCAATTATCAATTAATGTTAAAATTTTCTTATGTTTATTTGTTATTTTTTATCCTATTTCATTCGACTTAACTGTATTGCGGTAAAATAAGATTTGTGATAAGTGAATTATTGTGAACTTTTAGCTAAAATACCATAAAATGTCATATATTAAGGCTCCATAAATGCCATAAATTATGCGATTAAGATTGTCTATTGTTATCTTATTTATATAGATGTTAATTATTAAGTGAATGTGCACTCACCCCATTTAATGACACATTTCTTGTGGCATAATATTGTAACAGTAAACCCAATAAGAGATTTCATAATTTATTTCTCATATTTGTAGTACTTCATGTGATATTCATATAGTACCATTCAATGTTATTTATTAAATACAATTATATACGTACGTGTATAATATAACTACGATATTTAATGAAAAATTACACTCATTTGATAACATGTATTTCATAAGGATGACAAACATTTTAAACAAATACAAATTTTCTAACGAAATAAGTACAAATTGTTTTTCTTGGTGCTTTTATATTCTAATACTATCTATATATGTACAAACTCAAATGATAACGAACAATAAAATCGTCGTCCTTCTCTCTTGTGCTTGAATAAAATGGTCCATTACACATACACAGGTGCAAATCGCGTGCAAAGAAGTCGGTGAGCGTAAAAGTTAAATATGTATTATGTACGTGATAGGGGGAAAATCTCTCATCGACGAGCCTGAGCACCGGCCGCCGGCGATTCACCGCGACAGAAAAGTACGTTCTTGTAGGCGCTCCTGTACTCGGAGCTCATGACCACGTAAATGACCGGGTTGATGCAAGTTGTCAGATAAATAAGCAGGTAACCAGCTACGTCGAAGCCCCGCCAGTCGAGCGTCCCCTTGAATATCTTGGTGACGGTTATCGGCAAATAGCAGACGACAAATGACACGAATATCACGAGGATCATGCGTAGCAGCTTGCGGTCCTTGTCCGTCATCATCTTCCTACAGCCAGCCTCGCTGCCACGAGGCGTCGTCGTCTGCTGCTTAGTGCAGAAGAAAGCACCGCCGGCCGGCAACTGCCGGCGAACCCTCGAGGGCGAACTCGACCTCGAGCTCCCTCCGTCCTCGGAACTACCTGGCTCGTCTGGAGTCCACATGCTGCCGGTCCCACCACCCGGTAGGCTCAGAAAACAACGGCTCCGTTCGGGGCTTGTTCCAACGATACTGGACCACTCAACCGCTGGATCCGGCGCGGGTAGTAGCCTCAACTCGGGCACCTGGTGATGCGAACTGTTCTCACTGGGTGTCGCGTGAGTCATCGAGCCGATGGCCGAGTCCTCCGCGAGCCTCGTCGAGCAGCTCTTGCCGATTGCCTGCGGGGGGGTGTGACAATGAGTCGGTAAAGTAACAATCGGGTCAATGTGTGAAAAACTAACCTGTATTTGGATGTTGCGGTGGTCCCGGAGCTCCCGGGTGGTTTTGCGGACGATGCAGTAGATGCGGGCGTAGCAGACGACGATGGAGGTGCAGGGGGCGGCGAAGGCGAGGACGAATAAGAAAACTTTGGGGTTGCGGCCGTTCGAGTCGGCGAGGATGGAGCAGGAGCAGTACTCGGGATCGAGGCCGAATTGGCCCAGTCGACCGAACCACACGGGTACCAGGGGCCCGAAGCCACCGATCCACGTCGACAGCACCATGAGGGCCAGGTGCTTGCGCTTGTACAGTCTGCGCGGCAATATTACACGTGGTGATGTTATCATTGATGTGTAAAATGAAAATGTGTATAGCTCACTTGTAGAGTCCCTCCATCATCACTAGTCGCATGATCGTGATGGCCAGTACGGAGAAAAGACTGACGGCTACCAAACCGTAGCGCATCAGTACGTGGGTGCTGCAAAGAACCGGCCCGTGCACCCAACGGGAGTGGAGAAACAACGAGGTTGCCAGTGGAAGATTGAAGCTGCAGCTCATCAGATCCGACACGGACAAGTTCATGATGAAGACCGTAGTCGCGTTTCTCAGCTGTTTGTTCGATACATTATTATTTCAACAATTACCCTGCATGTATGTACAATCAAGTTGCATTTTTTGCCGATTTTGTGAAAATAAAAGACTATACTTAATAGAACGCGTGCAAATATAATACACACCTTGGAAAAATAAAGCTAATATATGAAAAAAAGGTGCTATGAAAGGGGAGCATCGAACAGACGCGTAAAAGTGTCGCCTCATCGATTTATTGACACCTCAATTTTCTCGTATGGACGTCAATCGAACGGAGCCTCTTTAAATGCTTACCCCGTACTTTTTTTTTTACACCCTTTTCCACCGAAACGCCACTTGTATTTGCGGGAGGTGTGCGGTAAAACGAGATATTTTTTTTTTGTTTCCTCGTATCACACCCCCAGCAGATGCGCTCGGTATAAAAATGTTGGCTTCGAATTGCCGGGGCGAGCTACTCTCTTGTTAAATTCCCAACGAAGCTCCCCACGTGGCAGTAAAATCGGGGTGGGACAAGGATGCAGGCCGATGCATTAGGGAGGGAATTTCTCGTTGGGTGAGGATACAGGATACGAGAGTGGGATTTTTCATCTGGTTTACGACGCGTCGGGCGCTCAATTCCGGGAGCTGCGCGCACATATAAAGTCTTGATGGGCGGGCACGTATACCCCACATGTTGGGCTATCGGCTCTGAATGCGGGTGTGAGATGCGATCGCACGTGAGACCGAAAAATAAGAAAATTACATTTATTTAACGTCAAAATAACATAGGTTTCGTTTATTTCTATACTTAAAATAATATTAACAAATGCACAAAATTAGCGTACGAGAATATAGTGTTATTGTAGGGCCGAGATACCCAAGATTTGCGTTGTTTTCACAATACACGTGTTCCAAATGTAACTTACACAAACCGTGTGCAGCCTGTTTAACTTTTAAACATGATTTTTCAAATTTGAACAGTGTACAGAAGCTACGTAAAGCAGCGCAAAAGTATATATTACGTGCAACGGATGACACTCGTTTACCTTGCAGCTTGGAGTACATCAACTCACAGAACTCTCTAGCGTAAAATGAGTCATGCGACGCGAGGACGGCTCCATTATTTCTGTTTCTTCGGAAGCAAAGTCAACGTAGTTTAAATGCCGAAACACTGCACGTAATATTAAAATTCCCAACGGCAGAGGTATTCGCTAAAATTCGTCCATGAGATACTACGGTATACACGTATATGTATTTGATGGGAATGATAATATATATTGATCTGGTTTTAGCTCCTTCCGCTTACTTTGATTGCTCGGGCAGTATGTGGGTACATGGGGTAGGTACGTCAAACAGTCATGTTTTTCTCATTTCTCGCGAAACTTTTCTCGATACCAAAGCTTTTAGTTGCCCCTTCTTCTGTGTGTGCGCGACCATGTTCCCTCGGAAAGTCGGAAAAAATCAATGATCTCAAAAAGTAAGTGAACGATCGCGTAAGAAAACTTAATGTTAACAATCATGGCCACAATAATGTTAATTGGCAACTTTTATGTAAATAATATCAATATTGTTACATCTATGCGGATAACCAGGCAAAGGTTGTTTTGAATGAGGAAAAATTATTGGCACACATGGTGATACCTAGAACCCAGTGTTTAGCTGTTGAATAGTGAGCCACTGTATCTATTAAGAAACATCAAAAATTGTCTGGTAATAAAATAACTATACGTCATGTTCTTGTATACGAATATGCCTTTGTAAATTGACAACTGTACCTACGCACGCACAAGTGTAGTCGAGGCGAGAAGATTTGTTTCCAAAACTGAAAGTTGGAAAAAATAAATAAAAGACATTGTCATTTTTTGACAATCACAAAATGAGGAAGATGAAACTAAAAACGTGTATCCATATCTATCCCACGGCTTCGACGGCGCCCATCTTCTATTGGGTATGATGTGCATGATACCAGCTACCATACGTGGAGGATTAAAGAGGAAAGGAAGAGAAAACTTCCTTCTGTGTAATAATATGCCCTAATCTTCGTTGTCTCCCCACATTTAACCGCATCAATATTATACGTACGTTTATGATCGATATCAGTGAGTATATACTATGGTATACTATAGGCTCCAATTGCCCAGCACACATACGTATCTACTTTTATAGGGTGGTAAGGCTCACTGCGTTTATATACAAACCCGCATAAGTCATCCATTTCCAATGGTAAGATATATTATATATACTTGTACGTAATACACGTATTAATTTCCTCTGACATAATTTCACGGGAAAAAGTCGTTACACGTGACGTTTTTCTTCTTTCCCCCCCCCCCGCCGGAACTCTTTGTAATTTGTTAAACCATTGAGTTTTTCAAGCGTAAACTACAATGTCTTCTCGAAAAACAAAGTATTCAATTTATAATTCCACACCAACAAATTGTGCTGCGGATAAATTTGGAATTTCTCCACGTAAGATCAAAGAATGATACGATTGAATATATATGAATACGTTGCCGATTGAAGTATGTGACGTATCGGCAATAAACGACAGGCGCAGCTTGGGTCTGGTTTAATTCGAGAGCCCATTAAACGCGCGCCTCTTTAACAAAGCACGTTGGGGTTTAACAGTTTTCGCGGAGCGTTTTTAAGTTTTCTCGCGCAGATTGTATTTCTCAGACATTTGGAGTACTCTATAGGAAATGTTGTTCTCCAAAGCGAACAATTGTTCGCCGGAGTATGTAATAAATCATCCCTCGAATAATCAATTTTTTTTTATTTCACGTAACAAAAATTTTACGGTACGAGAAAAGAAAATGATTACACGAGAACCCGATGAAAGGGAGGTGCTCTCAAATGAGTTCGATTATACGCGTGCGGTACAAACAAAGCCCACTTTGCCCCTTTTGCCGACACAGTATAGCGTAGATATATCTATATGCATCAAAAAGGAAATTGTTGACTCTGTGGATGTGTCGTACAATAGATCAGTTTCTGTTGTGTATGTACATACGCACGTGTACACAACGAAAAAAAAAAACCAAAAGATATATACATACACTCCCACACACTGCAGTATCCAATATTGTTTTCTCGTTAATTTATTACCCAGTCGACAATTACTTCCCATATATATATATATCCGGTACTCCGCGGTGAGTCATCGCAGCTGCAAAAGTAATCGCCGAGTTGAACGTAAAAACGCGCGACCGAGTGGCCATCAACAGTTGCACCGGCGCGACGGGTAACACTTTCATCGGACTAAGAAGCCGCGTAAAAGAGTATATACATATACATATATAGCCAAAGCGCGGAAGAGGGTAAAAATAAAGCGGTGGATACACGGACGGCTTGTTTGACCAAGAGAACTCGCGCCGCGCCCGTCACACCCTATACGTATAACACATACATTTTATACATGTACATATAATACAGCAGTCAACATCGGGACGACAACCACCCGGTTATTCTTTTTCCCATTGGCTCGTTGATACTCTCATTTCGCAAGTGCGGAAATCACGATGGTATAGAAAACAAAAAAAAATCTCAACTTGTTTCGGTAAAAATACCGGGTACAATAACCAAAGGAACACAATGCCGACGGAGAAAAACCGGAGATTGTGAACGAGGAGTCGTGCCAATCAAGTAAAACAAAGTCACCGCCACTCTCGATAACCTATATACACTAACGTCAACGTACGAGATTTTTTTCGCAATAACATTATAGAGAGAAAGAGACGTCATCGCGGTGGGATTTGTTTTTCCTTTTCCTCTGCGTTCGTTCGCCAGACACGGGCAGAGCGTCCAAATAAACGGGGCGAGACGAGAGGTGTAAGAGCTTTTATCTCTGGCGGCAAAAAAAAAAAAAAAAAAAAAAATCTCGTTACCCGGTAACGCGTGCGGGACGAAGGTATGCATTTATATGGACTCCAAACCTTTTTGGCGCGAGGAAACAGCGCCGCCAGGGTTATTATGTTGCCGGGAATGCCGACGAGGGTGAAGATGAAGCAACAGACCGCCGCCAGGTAGAGCAGCCAAGGTGGGTAGTTGGCGAAGAGGCAGCTGGAGCTTGCAGCTTGTACTGCCGCTGGCTCCACTTCGCTCGCGTTGGAGCTGGTGTTCCAGTAGCCGCTGACGAGGCCGATCATCTGCAATCAGTTTTTTTTTTTTTTTTTACGCGTATATAATATTTACTTTTATGGCCGTTTTGAATCAAGCCTAGTGAAAAATATTGGGTATCGAGTGCCATTTTTACCGCAAAGTTGTATCTCTCCAGAGAGCTTGTAATATTATACAGGGATAGGGGATGCATTGAACTTTTGGTGAAACTTCACTCATTAGTCACTATAGTTTAACTAAGATTTTAGCTCATTTTTTCGATTATTTATAATTTTAATTATTGACTGTGTGGCAATCCAACAGTGACTAATATCTCCTCAGATTTTTTTTATTTTCTCATTCATTTATCTTAGGCTCACTGTGTTATTCATTATCTTTTTTCATTCCGATAATCAAGGATGAAAATCTTATTTACTTGTTTGAATTCTCAGAAAAGAAAACCACCACCGTTTGTTTTTAGATATTATTCCATATTTATCTTATATTACACGGATACCTTTATGAAGAGTAATTTTGTTCAATACTATTATCATATCAAAAAATCAAACGTTTTGGCGGATTTCAAACTATTAATAATGCTTATATCATTGGGGTGACATTGTTTCAGTAAAAAAATGTTCAAGTGCAGTATTTCTTAAAACTCGCGTGATTGTGCACATCGCCCTGAATTTTATATTGCACGCCAATGGGTTCAAATATTTTATTCGCATTAAAAATTGAGGAAAGGAAATTACGCCGAGTATGCGATTCCTCCGGTAACTACAATCAAATTGATTTTCTTCGCAAACACGAAATAAAAGAAAACGTTTGTTATAAAATCGTAAATTGAAAGAATAAAAATAAAAGCTCTCCCTTATCCGGGATGGAATGCAACGGGAGAGTTGTTTAAAGCCCAGCTGCAGTAGGAGCGAATAAAGTTTTAACGTTATTCTCTCGAGCAAAAGATAAAAACCAGCGACGGTGTAGCGCGGCAATAGAGGCAACAACGGTATACGTATATAAGCAGCGAGTAAAGCTGTATAGGGCGAGAAGCAGAGGTGAAATTTGCCACGCGCCCGAGTGTTGTTTTCCAAGCAAAAAATGTTAGGGGAAAATTACTTTGCGCTTTTCTTCCTTTCTTTCTCTCTTGGCTAAAAATACCCTGGTGGGTTATTGGACCATTATGTATACCGGAGGGATGGAAATTGCGAGGTGCACCTTTACTTACCTGGACTGTTTTACTCGTCTTATATGTGCAACGAAACAATTTTGGATGGCGTTACAGACTTGAAAAAAAGAATTTGTTTTAGGTGATTTAAAACTTGATTGCTTACTACTATTGCCCAAATTTTTTCTGTGTAAGTGTATGAAAAATTTTATGTAAAATAATGTCCACTTTATGGATTAAAGTGGCGTTTTTCTTTGAATCGCTCAGGGAAAACAGTCGAGAAATAGATTACCAATTAAACAAGCTATTTCAGATAAAATTGAGCAACATTTTGTAAAATTTTCGACCATGCAGTTATTTCAGCTACTGTAAATCAGTCACTGTAAAATAAAGTTGTAGTAGAATATAGTCAATTAAAAATAAAATACCATGATTTTTTTCGCTCATATCATTATAAACAACAAATATCAGGTTCTAAGTATAGTTGAAAAACTTTACTTAATTGTTTTGCAAAATCTGCATGGAATAGACTTAGACACAATGGTGAAAAAATTTTTTCCGCCCTCGGGTGGTTTTGGGAGGCTGGTACTTCCTTGGGCGAAAAAGCAGTTTTCCGGAACTCGTTCGAAAAGTCTCCTTTACGAACCTCGTTACGTCCCTCGCCTTCGGCTCGGGCCGCAAACCTCTCGGTTCGCAAACAGAGACTTTTCAAACTCGTAGGAAAACTACTATATTTATTACTATTTGTAGTATTACAAAGTTTATTCTTAAATATTTCAAATCAAATATAAAAATAATTTTTTTAAATGCTCGAACTACTTTTTTCGTCTCCATAGTATTTAACAGTAATTAAATATACAATTTTTTTTTACCTGAATGGTACATTACATTTTGACCAATAGATAAAAATGAAAAACGAAAAAAGGTTGGCAAAAAAATATACATGCGAAGCTCCAAAGTGGTGAAAAAATAAACATTTGTCACATCGATTGAAATGTTTCTCCTTTTAAAAGCCAGACTTTTTCTTCTACTGACGCCATACACCCGGCATTATCCGTATACTCGATCGAATAAACGACGACTCCCGCGATCACCCATCAGTCACGACTCGTCAATTACGCGATTGGCGGAAACGAAAATTCGCGTCTCTTTGCCGAACTTTTTTTTTTTTATTCTCAACTGGTCATAAAATTTGTACCATAAACATTTTAACCCTTTACATGTAAAGTGACAGCTTCAAGCATTATTTTTAAATCACCCTTATTTTTACTTGTTGATGCAGACTCGCGAAAACAACCCTCATAAAGTAACACCACCTGATCCATATAAAATTATGTCCACAACAAAGCTCTAAGCTCACACGACTCGCCAGATGTAACGTTTGACATTTGCAATAGCGATACAATCAATAACTGTTAATACCATCGTACTATAAAAATCCCACAACCCAGCATAAATGAAAAAAAAAAAATACTAAGAAGTAAAACGGACCTTGACTTTTACGCGTCAACGGTGACTAGACTCCTGGCTGATGGACAGCGTTTCCTCGTTCGCGGAGCATTCCCGGACCGGCTGAGTGCAAACATACTCGTGGACTCGAGTATAGGGTCGTTTTTTTTTATCTTTTCTCTAAAATAAAAAATTTAAGTTTTCAAGTATCCGGACATCGCGCTTCGAGAGGCAAATATCGGATGCTTGCGAGACTCGCGGCAGTCGACTGCTTGCTTTGGGTGCGTTTCAGCGCGGATGCGCTTTTTTCCCTTGACCGCGCTTGCGCTCCTCTCCGATTCCTCGACCCGAGTGTGACAATGAACTGCGGTCGGAAAAAGGATCATCCGAGCAGGGCGGGGACGTTTATTTTTTTTTCCAACAGAAAAAGTATTTGTTGAAACTGCCTGAATAAATGAACCTGAAATAAGTTTTTGTATAGAATGTTGAAAAAATTGTCCGATTTTCACCATAGTTTTTACGTACATTGTATCTAATTCATTATGATTTTCTTATGTATCATCACGGACAACCGTAACCGAGCACGACTCTCAGAGAGATGATGTTTTTGCATAAGTATACTCTATAAAATTTCGATATTGAAACTTTGGAAACAATTAATAAATCTTCAACGTTGTCGGCGAATTGAGAATCAGGTATTTGTAGGATTCCCTTAGTTGGGTTGGAAAAAAAACATACGCGACCACTGTGCTGTAAAAGCTTTTTGTCAACTTGACGAATTTAACGAGATTTTGTTGTTGTTCGTTTTCGGCGTGTACACGCATGAGAGATTTCATCAAATACTTCGGTCCACTAGAAAGTTCATCATCTCGCAGTCAACCACATCACCAAGGAGATGGCAAACGAACGAGGAACAAAAAAAAAAGAAAATTCTATAGTACACGTAATCATCGTTGTAAACCAACGCGATTTTGTTCAACAATATTCCAATTTTATAATACTCGGAGTTAAAAAAATAATAACCGAGAGATGAGCGCTGGTCTACACAGTAAATAACACGGAGCTGCGCTTGATAGTACCGCGGACTTGGTTGTGATATTCCCCTCTCTCTTTATTTCTCTTTTAGTCCAGAATATAGCTCCGCCGCGCACTGTCCCTACATCCTTTTTAAAAATAATAGCTCAGGGTTACGGTGAAAAGGGGGGGGGGAGGAGGCAAGGGAAAGGTTGTAAGTAGCGAGAAGCGTAAATAAATGTTATTGTCACATTATGTAGGTACCCATTATGGGAGAGGCGGGGATGGGCACCGCATAGTTGACATCATTGTGTGCTTGCGGGCACACGTGACACACTCTTTTCTGTCTATGACCATAGGGGGATAGGTATACTCATACGTGTATAACAGAAATTCAAGAAGCGAAGGGAGGGATAATAAATACGACAGAAGAGCGCCCGGATATTATATATAACTGTACGGTGCTTTCGCCCATCACAAACACTGCACGTATTGGTACTGACCTTTAGTTGTAGAATTAGCTATACAGCTGTATGGATATTTAATTAAACTCTGGATTTTTGCTCTCGTATATGTATTAATTATTTTGGATGTATTTTTGTCTCGCTCGAGAACCCCCTTTCAATTGGCAGGAAACAATTTGAAAAAAAAAAAAAAAAAAAAAAACAATAGAGTGGGGAAAAACAAACGTAGTTCCGAATGACAAAAGTGCACTTGTAGAAAAGAGCGCCACGCTCGGCAGATCCCGATGCAAAAGCCAAACGCGTACCCGGTGACGCGCGTCGTGCAAAAATTCGGGTTCCGGTTCCCGCTGGAAGGGGAGGACGGAAATTCTCGAGGCTTTGTCACCCGACCTACCATTGCACTCAAACGGCAAACTTTCGAGCGAGAGATGCACTCGAATGTAAACCAAGTACCAGTTGAGAAGGGGGCGAGTGATAAGGAAAAATGAAACGACTGCGTGCGAATAGAATGGCGTTACCTATCTGGACCTGGGCTGACTCAGCAGCTCTGATTCAACATGATGTATACGAGAGGAAAGGTCGGGATTACCGCCGAGAATGACTCGGGGCTCTTGATGTGGCTATTACCCGTATATATGTTACATACCCATGTAAGTTATACGTTGGAATCCATGAAAAATCGGCAATTGGAATTTTGTTCCAAATTAATATATTTTTGGAATTTAAAATCTAATTTATTTTTTGCGTTGCTAACTTGTGAATGATATAGTGGCACCACTGGAACTAAATTCTATTGCCTTCACGAGTATCATTTGATTATAAATTATCTGATGCACAGCAACAAATATAATATACGTAGGTTTATTAACTAAAGATCAATATTATATTATTAATATGCTGATCAAGTCGAAAATTACGGAATATTAAATTATCATCACCCTCAAGAGGATTTATA